TCCCCATCCACACATACCCACACACACCTTCACGAGTCAAGTCCAAACCCGCAATCCTTCGATGCATTACGCAACAACCCCCCCAGCCATAGAACCTTCATCGAAGCAAAAAGCAAAAAAACCCAACAATCCTCCGGATACCCATATCTGACAAGCCCCCACACCTACCCTCAAAATTCCGCCCAGAAATGCGAAAAAAGCAAACACGATCCCCACCAGGCCGATGAGAAAAGGTAAGCATCAACATCTGAAACACACACCCTCCCCCACAAATACTCTATCTGCAACATGCAGGCTGTTCAAACCCAACCATCAGCATTACGAGAAGCCACACAAAAAAGCAAAAAAAGCACATCTTGCATTCCTGCCCCCATCGTGCATACACGTACGCCATGTCATGCATCTTGCTTCCGTCAGCCAGCCCCAAAAAACCCACCACCCTCATCCTCCCTAGCTATTCCCGCGTCTCCCGCGCATGTAGGGCCTCTCGTTTGATCATCCTCTTAGCACCACACCACATTTACCTTCCCTTACCTGTACATCTATTTTCAATCCGATATACATCGGACGCGAGTGTTTTTTTTTTTCGACTTAAGAGGTCGGGAAGATAATACACACTTCCGTGATCCTCTCTCCGAGAATAAAAAATAAATAAATAGGAGGGGAATCAAGCGGGAGATACATAGTCCCCCCAGGAAAGGGTATAGTAAATATAGTAAGATATTGGCCTGTTTAGAGGGGGAAGAGAAAGGACGGGGGGGGGGGGTAACGTATAGCACACCCCCTTCCCCTCGCTTTCTCTTCCTCCCCCGTTCCCCCCGTTCCCCCCGTTATCCCCGAATCCCCCCAAGGGGAGGGGCTGGTAGGTGGGTGGTGGGTGGTTCCCCTTGATGTTTGACAGTGCATGCGTATGCATCGATGAACGCACGTGGCGGTGACACAAAGGGTACAAGGGTAAGTAAGGGAAGAGGAGGGGAGAGGGGTGGTTTTTTGTGTGCCCCAACCCGCATGCATGCATGCAAGATGCAATAGTAATAATCCGTAGAGTGAAGTAAACGTCAAGCCAAGGAAAAAAGTAAAAAAAAAGAATAGTAGCACCACGTAATACAGGGAGGATGTTACAATGTCATGACTATGTATCAATATTTTACACATATATGCCATGTGCCAAAAAAAACTAAATGTCTATCATGCCCTTTTTTCCCCTTTCCCCCTGTCTCAATACTTTGTCGAAAACGAAGGCGAAGCTTACGTACTCTCCTTGCCGAGAGGAATAAGTTCCTCCTCGATAAACGCGCGAGGAGAATACAACTTCGTGCTACCGTATACAACTCTTCGTTTAGGACCAGTACCAGCTGCAGCGCTTGTGCGCTTGGCCCATGCCTGGATGTTGGTCTCCTCGTCCATGCTGCCACCGCCAACAGGAAAGACAATGGCTTCTGAGAAGCCCTGTCGCCTTTGTCCAAATGTTGCATCGATTCCGCGTCCAACAGTACTTTGCTGGTTCCGCGACTGGCTTGCAGGAGGTAGGGTGCCTCGTGCATTGGCAGATCGGGGGTCAAAGTAGAGGTAGTTTTCTGTTTTGTTGAGCGCGCTGCTTGTAGCATTTTGAGGGTCCATTAGAGATTCAGTAATTTTGGTGATTGTAAGATCTTGGTTGGCAGGCAGGTATGATTTGATGCCCGAAAGCACGCCTTCAAAGTTGGCGCCCAAACCAGCTTCCTTGAACCGGTCCGTTACCCTTGATGAAAGACTAGTGAAGCCGCCGAACAGCTGTGAAGATGCCTGAGCAGGCTGTGTGGGAGCGGCAGTTGAGAGATTGCTCATTTGTGTAATCTGGCGTACTGTTTTGATGTACGCAAGGGCTTCCGTGTCTACGCCGGCGGCTTTGAGAGCGTTCTCAAAGCCTTCTAGCTCTGTACGCGATACCTCTTGTTCTGTCTTCAAGTACCACTAGAAATTGACCATGTTAGCGCAATCATGTAATTACCTTTGAAGTGCGCATCGTACCTGCAAGAAGAATCTGAACTTATCCATGGGATCATTTCCCTTGGCTGGATCTTTGAGCACCTCCATGACGGATGATTTGGTCTGCTTTTCAATCTCTTCTTCTAGTTGGAAGAACTCATCGAGTTTGCGCTCCTTGATGCCCTCCATCACAGCTTCGAGGATAGACATGTGAGCCTCAATAGTAGCCTTCCTTTCTCGCAGTTCCGGCAGTTGAGAAATTGCGCCTTTGAGATGTGCTGCGAAATGATTGCTTTCTCCTGAAAGGTCGTCCAATGACGATGACCCCGTCTTCTTGGTAAGCGCGTCCGCATCTTCCGAGTACTTTGTCCATTCGTTTGTCACTTCTTCTGCGACATTTGGGAAGGGTTGTGAAGCATTGCGGTTCCAAAACTACATGCAAGAGGTAGTTAGATACTTGGTCAGATGTGGCTTATGGATGAGTACTTACGTAATCGGTTGCTGCCAAGTCGTACGACTGCTTTTTGGTACCGCTCTCTGGCTTGTTCTTATCCTTTGGAACAGTCACTTCGATCTTGTTCAAGTGGAAATTGCAGACGTCGTACACGAGACTCTCTACATGCTCTAGTCAGCTCTAGCCTTGGTATGGGGAAGGTGTCTGGCGTACGATATATCCAACTGTGGCTGAACATTGGATTGAGATCGGCGTTCCTGTCTACGATGACGAGCAATGGGCGGGAGGCTGTTGATGATGATGCGAAGAGGCTTTCCTTGTTGTTGAGTACATGATCGCGTAGCTTTCGGTCGAGCTTGGCAGCAATGAGTTCGGCGGCACCACCGCTAGGAGCCCTTATAATTGGGACGACGGCCATGGTAGCGACGACGGAAAAGAGCCCTGAGACGATGCGATCCATGTGCTCATCGAGTTCTGCATCTTCGGTTTTAGACGAGTTCAGACGGTAGTAAGACTGATCAATGTTGAGACTACGACCGAGTGAGTGGGAGTGGCGCATAGTTTAGGAAATACAAACGTACCTGAACTGATCATGGCCCAACGTAACAAAGTTCAGATACCTTTGGGTCGAGTTAGCAGTTGCTGAATCTCATTCTCCAGCATCTCGTACTGATCGTAAATCTGCGCCAGATTGCCAGCAGCTTCCGGCATGGTCGCCAATTCGGCGCCCCATGATTCTAGCAAGTGGCGGGGCACACTGGAGAGGAAGTTGATGTATGCGGGGGTGTACAGAGCGTCGTTCAGATCCTTCGTGACGAGGGCTAGGTTCTCAGCAGTGGGTGCCATGAGATACTGGTGGGGTGGTCAGCCTATGCTTTGTGGGGTCGCCATATCACCAAATGCTAGCGCGTGTTCAATGGGATGCGCAACGCATTTGGTGGGGACAGGGTTGCTCACGATTCCAGGTGCTGGGATGGGGCTCCGGCGCGACTTGAGATTCAAGTGCACAGTGACCTGTATGGTGTTCAGTAGACCGTTATAGTGTTGGAGAGAGTCCGTTCATACACCTGCCGCCCTCAGGTCATTGACCCGCAGAACAGAGCTGACGACGGCTTTGGCAGCATCGTCGTAGACCAGAACACCTATTCGGACAGCAGTCTCAGCACTTGTGTCTTCAAAGTGGCAGGCCAACGCTATGACGCTGCGACTTACGCCATGCTATGTCGGGATTCGTGGGCTCGTTCGACTCGTCCTGAGCGGCGTCGCCGTCGGCCGGGGGGTTGAGGTTGAGCAGGCGTTTAATTGAGGCTAGGATGCATCTGTCAGTGGTGCTGGCGATGGTGCAGGTGGGAGGGCGAAGACGTGCCTATCTGGCGGTCCCGCAGTGAGACGGCCATTGTGTTCTAATGTGTCGTGGCACCCGCCGAGTGTCAGGTGTTTGGCATGCGCAAGGGGGCGTGTGTATGTGTATAGGCAAGAGACCACGGTGGCGCGTCTGCCTTGGCCAGTGCCTGCTGCGCGCTGCTTGCTGTTCGCGGGCGGATGGGAGTGTTTGGTGATGCTGGTGGGCCAGGTTGCCTGCCCCGCCTGGGACTAGCGCGGCGCGCTACTTGGCGAGCGGGCGGGCTCTCAAAACGAGCTCGCCCCTTCGCCGCGCTCCCTCGCTCTTCAACTCACCTCGCCCACAACAACCCACCCCCCTTCTTCGCTCTTGACACTCATGCTACTTCTCAGTGAACTCTCGCCCACCTAATAAGGGCATCTGATTCTGAGGCTAGATTCTACTTTCGAGTCCTTGCTTTGGGGGAAGTGTGCGCTCAGGCTGGCAGCGGTGTTTGTCGGGAAACAGGCTTGGGTTGCGGAGGGCAGGCAGAGTGACCGTCATCTTCAACTTCTGCTACTAATCCCAGCTCCGTCTTTGGACTCGACAGGCTTCGCATCACAGAGAGAATCTGGCCAAGCTCCTGCGCGAGGCGGCCCACAGTTGCTCGGTGCCAACCGGACGGGGGCGCGTCAAGCAGGCCTCATCCGCCGCGTGTGTTGTGCTCTGGTTGCGCGCGCGCATGCAAAACGTCAAGTGACGCATCAGCAAGCAAGTGTGCTCCTGCTCCTCATCGCATAATACGCGAGGCAAAGTGCCAGCTCATAAAAACCAATTCTACGCTTTCGTGGACTGGCCGACTCGGCTTCGCAGGCGTCTGCGTTCGTTGTGAGTGAGGGCCGGCTGCACCTTGGGTGTGCATCTACTACTCCGTCATCTGCCCACCAACCCCCCAGAGACAGCAACCTGGAAGCGCTGCAGGCCGACAGAGACAGCAACCAGACGCTACCGCCTAAACCGGTGTTTTATCGACCTTTTTTCTCCGCTTCACATTCTCCCGAACCGGGCATCCTGCTACGCTCGTGACTCTGCGCCAGTCTGCTTAGCGCCTAGTGCTGCTGCATCGTCGCCTAATTAATCCCCTTTGGCCTGTCCCAGACACTTGTGCGTCGTCAGCCAATCACAACCCTGCAATTGACAGCTGACACTTTGGCTAGCCAAGACATCCCTCCCCTCCACACACATACGCCACACATCATGGCGTCAAATCACGTGCCCACTGACCAGGTGCCGTTGCAAGGCCAGAATGTCTACGCCGATCCATCCTACCAGCACCTCTTTTCTTCTGTCGACCGCTACGGCACCCCCTCGTGGGAGGCCCAGCTACACCAGCACTCACCCCTGCCGCCGACGGCATCGGGCCAGAACTGGCACCCTGGCTCGTTTGCACAACAACCCTTCAACGCCATCAGCCAATCGTATGCTGCTCAGAACCATGCTTTGCGTACAGAGTCGCCCTACCAGTATGGCCAGTTCAGCCAACAAGGTCCTTTGGCCAACTATGGTCAGGCCTCGAATGTTGACCCGTCGCTGGGCATGGATCCCAATGCCGTCCGCCAGCAACAACACTCTCCTTACCAGATGCCAATGCGCACTGTGACTCCTCAAAGCCATGTTGGCACAGTGACGCCGCAAGCTCTACAGCAGGACACTGGTTCACTTCGGACTAGTCGTCCTCCGATATCTGCTTATCAAGTAAGTTAACCTCACTAAACGCACAAAGACTCAACGCAAACTAACATGATGCAGCTGCCCAAGCCTACTGCAGAGACATTTACTCAGCAGCGCCCTGCACCGGCCTCATTTGCGAAGCCAGTGCCTGTCCCTGAGTTTGAAATACCAAAGGGTAGAAAATCGGGTGGTCTCTATGTTGTTGATCAAGCTGCTTTGGCAAAGGCCACTAATTCTACTCCGTTGAATAAATTCGTGACTCTGGGAAATGAACCCTTTCATCTGGCAACAAATAGAAGTAAGCCTGAACGAGTAAAAATGATGCTGCAAGGAACAACCTCTGACATGTGTATAGCTGCGCTTCCAGTTTATGTTGCTCGAAATTCCCTAAAGGATCTGAAAAAGGCAGGGGCAGACAGCAAGAAGCTCCGCGCCAAGCAACTCGCCTCCAAGTCACACTCAAAAGCTCTAAACTCTGCGAGGAAACCCACAGAGTTGAAGAGAGAAGTCAGTGACAGTGGCAGTTCCTCTGAGTCATCTGACTACGATACAGACTCTTCTGATGAAGAAGAAGAGGAGATGCCGATCCCTGCGTCGCGGCCAGAGGACCCTGACGCCGCCGTTCGATATGATGTTGTCAAGGCTACATGGCATCCTTCCACATCTTCACCAAGCTCTGAAAAGATCAAGATTAGTATGCGTGAGGTCTGGGAGGTGCTCAACACCATCCAAAAGCGGTGGCGAGCCGACAGCAAAGCTGTAACGGAGGCCGAAGAGCAAAAGAAGACAGGTGAGCTGCCGGTACTCAAGAGTCGAGTCACGAGTCAACGTGACCTTCTCAAGTCTGCTCTTGAGGCTGCATTGCAGTCTGCACATCCTGATGTGCTTTACCAGTTGGGGCAGATCAAGCCATTCCTGTATCTGTGCTACCAGTTCTTGGCGAACCGATTCCATAGTAAAGATTACGATGGCCCATTGTCCGCAGTCATCTACGAGGTACTCTCGCGATGCGGCACACTGACTTCTGAGCTCCTCGAAGAGACTAAGCTTATCAAAGCACTTGCGTCTATGAAGAAACACGCAAATGATAAGCATAAGAATTTTATACAGCAAGTGATGGACAGCGCTGCCGCCAATTCTAAAAAGGCAAAAGCAAGCCCTCCGCCAAAGACTGAATCGGCAGATGGCAAGGGTGTTAAGCGACCGGCATCTGATGCTACAAACCGTTCGGCCAATGAGTCAGCAATGATGAAGAAGCCAAAGGCATCTGATGCCGCCGCTTCAGCCGCAAAGACTGCTCCTGCTACAACCACACAGAAACGACCCGGAGAGAAGACAGCGCCAGCACCCGCACCCGTCAAGACGCGTGTTAGCCAAGTCACCAGCAAGCCTTCGGGTATCTTTGCCTCACTCAATGCAGCAAGCAAGAAGACAACACCAGCTTCGGCTACTGCAAAGGGTGCCGCATCAGCCAAAGCTACCACCCCGGCTACAAAGGAGAAGAAGGTTGTGGCGACGCCTGCGGCAAAGCCTGCTTTTTCGTTTGCCCAGACAATGGCATCGCTCCAAAAACCCAAGGAACAAGAAATTGCGCCCACCAAATCCGAGAAACCTCTACCAGTAGAAACCGAAGAAGAAAAGGCCAAACGGCTACGAAAAGAGTCTCGCAGACATCTGCGTGTAGCCTGGCGGCCGGATACATCACTGGTAGAGATCAAGTATTTCGACCACGAGGCCGACGATGAAGAGATGGACCACAAAGAACATCACCTCGTGCGGGATGCTGGCGACCTTGGTGGAGAGGGACGTATGTTCAAGCAACACAAAGAGCTTGACCTTGACGACGATGATGAGGACCTGGATGGCGAACAGCGGTCATGGGCACCACCATCCGAAGTTGACTTTAGTGTTGTACACCCTGAAGAACGTCAACGAAACTACGCGCCGTATGGAGGAGGTCTCCAGCAACCCATCTGTCCTGAGAAAGAGGCCAACATGCAGCGCGAGAACGCTACATTAATGGTCTACTATTCTAGCAATGACGACATTCCACCGACTCCAAAAGAGCCCGCAGAGCAGGAGAACCCATCTACTGCTCCTGTCGTCAACTTTGGACCACCGCCCGAGACAGTTCTAAGGAAATGCCCACAACCACCTGTGGCAGCGACTGTGCCGGACTTCAGTCAACTGGAGAACATCATCAAGCAATTGTCGGCTACCAACCAAGCTCAAGCCGCTCCCCCTGCCCCAACAGCTCCGGCTGAAAACACGTACACGCCTCCGCCTCCCGCAGCCGCTCCTACATTCGACGCCGCCGGTCTTCAAAACCTCCTCAACTCCATCAGTAACAGCCAGCCTCCTCCCCAGGCCCCACCACCCGCGTCGTTTCCAATGCAAAACCCACCCCAACAACCCGGTGTAAGCCTTGACATTGCTGCCTTGATCGCCAATATGCAAGCAGCGACTGGCGGTGCACTCCCTCCTCCCCCTCCACTACCTACTGGATTCCCACCATTTCCTTTCACGTTTCCACCCCCAACCCAGCAAACTGATGCTGCCGCATGGTCTCAACCGATGCAAGACACTACATATCAAACTCAGACACAATCCCAGTACAACCAGCAACCCAACGCTGGCACCAAGCGGCAACGCGACGATAGCAATGGCATCAACGACCGCAACCAAGGGAAGCGACCCAAGAACCGAGGAGATCACAAGCCTCACAAAGTGCTCGCATGCAAGTTCTTCCAAAAGGGCCAATGCAACAAGGGCGACAACTGCACATACATCCACGACTTAAACCAATGATTTTTCCTTTTGAGCAAATACTGTTTCACTACCATGGCCTACCGCATCTTCAGCAATAGTTGCCGGATGATTTTGTGGAGACAAAGGTAGGCTTGTATAATAAGAGCGTTTCCTTCACTTTTTCATGTTTTTTTTGTTCTCATGTCACGATTCGGACATTTGCATGCATACCCGGGCGATGGAGCTGCCCACTCCGGCAGGTCTCGAAGCATTTATAGGCGTTTGTCATAGCATTCAGTGGGTAGCATTTGAGCGGCGCTGGATAGGGTCTGGCATGGACTGGGCGAGAGGTCTCAATGGAAATATGTATGAGCCCCAGGCCAGGTTACATTGGGTCTGTGCAAGTAGATAACGCTGAAAATGTTTACATATTCACATCCTCGTAATTCGGCTAGCTCATGATGGCACAATTGATGTATGGGGGTTCGTAGCCTAAAACAATCAGCTACGGACAACGTTTGGCGGCCAAACAGAGAATGCGATGAAGCAGAAACAATGTGCGGGCTGACCAAGGCGATCAGATGGCGCCGATACAATGAACAATGGCTACAAATATAACAGGGAGGGGGATTGTTGATGAGTGGCCTTTGTTTGAGACGGTGTGTTGTTGGTGTGGAGTAGCGCGCATCAACCGGTTCCGCGACCAGTCGTTCCCGCACGGCAAGCTCCGTCATGGGCATTTTCTGGCGTCAGACATCACCCACCGAATCATCCCAGCCCTCACGCCCAACACACAATCTCGCTCCATCACGACCGCAATCGCTGCACCTGCCGGATTTGCAAACTCGGCGCTTCTTACGCTGCCGGCCCCTTGTTCCGGACGCCTTCCGCAGCCGACTCATCGCCTCGCCGTTCACGAGCCGACCAAGGACCACCCCACGCCGACTCCATCGCGCCCTCGACCTCCGCCACTACCCAGACCCCCGCAATCATGGCTCCCGCCCGCAAGAGAACCACCAACATTGCGCGTCGCAGGCGGACAGATGACGAAGATGAGAGCCAGTCGGTAGCAACTCTGGCCGACGACTCCCAGAGTGACGCCTCAGTGCTCAGCGATGTCGACGAGGACGCCGATGCCGACAACAGCGACCTTAGTGAGGTCGACAGTGCCCCCTCCCTTACCCAAGGAAAGCCAAAGCGCAAATCAAATGGCCCGCGTGATGCAAAACCTCGACAGAATGCTAGCCAGCGGCAACCTTCTCCGCCCATTGCTCGCTCCGACGTGGATTTCTCCGCTGTCAAAGAGACGGAGATCATGATGAACGGGCTTCAGATCGGTGAAGATGGAAAGGAACCTGACGAGATTGACTTTGAGACTGGTACGGCAGCACCAGAGACGGCGCCAGCTGTTGGTGTGGCTTCCTCGCGGACAGAGACGCTGGCGGAGCGCCGGCGGCGGGAGCACGAGGAATACAAGAAGAAACGCGACTCTGACCCGGCTTTCATCCCCAATCGCGGGGCCTTCTTCATGCACGACCAGCGCCACGCACCCGGTCAGAATGGCTTCAGGCCCGCTGGTCGCGGAAGGGGGCGGGGTGCTCCCATCGGGGGGCCCTTCTCTCCAGCAAAGTACGTGCAGGCACAGAGAATCAAGCTGGAGCTCGACACTGACATTCATCATAGTATGAGGCCACAGCCTTCGGAGGCTACTGACTCGCCCTGGCAGCATGATCTGCACGAGACCGTCAATGCACCGGGCTCCCACGATCAGCCTGGCCCACCTCCAGCCGCTTCCCAGCAGCAACCACCGAACGCGCCCGCCTTTGCCTCTCGAGTACCTCCGGGGTCCAACCAAAAGCCTTCGCAGGCTCGTAATTTCTCCACCACGGTTCATACGCACAATGCCATGGTTCGGGTATTCTTGCCAAACATGAAGGGCCCTATACAATTCCAGAATGTACCTATCAAGCAACATACCCGTCTCCCCAATCACAGACCCCCGCTCCGTCGCGATAAGCCAGTCCGTATCTCACTTCCGCCTGCCCCGCCGCGCTACATCTTCCCCACAGTTGAGCGCTCCTTCATCTTCATCCCGCGGGCACTCCGGCCCAACCAGCAGGGCTTTGGACGGGGACGGGGTAGGTTTGGATCTTTTGGCGGGGGTTTCTCGAGCAGGCGAACAAGTGCATATGGAGGTAGTGTATACTCGCCGAGCGTAGCAATGAGCAGGCGGTCATCGATTGCACGCGAGATTGGTCGTGAAAACCTGGTCTCTCCTGCTGGCTCCATCATGTCACGTAATGGCGGGTTCGTTGATCCCAGTCGTCCAGTGGTACGTCTTCCACCTGGAGGTCCCAGGATGTCAACCGGACCTTCCATGATCTCGCCTACAAATGGTGCTGTTCAGCCACCATACCCGCTCCCACAGAAGCCGGCTTTCCGAGAAAACTGGCAAGGCCAGCTCCCCATGCACCAGCCTCGCCCACAAAAGACTGTATCTGTTGCTGGAATTGAGTCACCAGCGTCATTGAGTTTCAACCCACCCCAGCAGCAAGAACAACAACCTTTCCATCAACAAGTGCCTGCGCACATCAATGGAGCTGCCCCTGCTCCTGATCAGTCATTCTATCAACATGGACGTCACGCGTCTTATCCAAGCCAGGTATCTACGGGAACTCCGCTCAACAATATTCCCGAACGGGCTATCCATGCGCCAGCCTTCCAGCCTTATGCTCAGCCTGGCTTTCAACCGCAAGCCTTTGTTCCACAAGGCTACTACTATCCACAAAATAGTGCACAGCCGCAATACATGGCACCGGCGGGTATGGTGCCTATGTTTGTTCCTGGCGCACAGCAGCCTGGTTACGTCATGCCGGTTTCTGCTCCCCCAGTCGCTGCTCCTCCAGCTCCTGCCGGTCAACCCAACATGGTGGCTTACGAGTCCAACGGTATGACATACTACGTCGACTCGGCTCAACTTTACCCAGCCCCACCGGCAGAGAATTACGCTCAGCCTAACTATGCCGTTCCGGGCATGGGAGGCATGATGACGCCAGGGCCCGATGGTGCCTACTACTACCCACAGCAAATGCAGCCAGCAGGCTACTATCCTCAGCAATGAATGACAGACTATATCTCTCCTCTACATCTCTGAAGCCTATCGTCTTGTCTTGCACATATTGCCCACCACTATCCGAATTTCTCATTTGCAATCAGCATGGCGTATCTGGGTTCTTGATTACGATACCTGGTGTTTCCTGGACGAAGTTCGTTTCTACAGCGCATCTTAGTTATCCACTCTTAACGACAGCGAGCGGTCTCAAAAAAACTCAATAGCGAACTTTGTGGGAGGCGGCATCCGGTTTTTTTCTCTTTTGATGTTCTTTATTCTTTGAATCTCTTCTCTTGTTTTATCCTTTTCTGGTTCAAAATCTTTTACTCACAATAAATGACCGGGTTATGGATGCATGGTGTTCTGCGTTGTCGCGTTTTGTGGTTTAAACGGCACGGTGGGCTTTCATTCCTTTGAGGTACCTGTTTGTTGTGTTAATCAAGCATCATTCAAGTTCCTTGCCTTTTGATTTATCAGCGTGCTTTAAGTGCTAGCTTGCTACTTGTTGTATAATGTTGGCGTGTAGCGTTGTATTCAAGCACTGGAAGATGAGGCAAACACGTCTTAGGAGATTTGCTTTTAGGCATGCGATGTCTGTTCAGATAATTCATTACTGGTTGATAGCCGCGTGGCTTTGAAGCCAAACAAAGTGCATCTACTGCTGCTCGGTGACGTTGGCTGACCATGGACGAAACACGTGAGCTGCGTGGTCGGAAAAAGCAAGTGACATCAATAGCAAGGCTTGGCGCGCAGCAGGACGCTAAGCACCTGGTTCGCCGCATCATCGCCTGCATTCGAGGCAGCTCTCCATCAACCACCATCCCGCAAATCGCGTCGACCCATCAACCCCCGAGACAAGCACCCCATCCTCGAAGTCTTGTCTCTCAACCCGCCATCATGGCGCCCACCAAGGACACCATGTTCCGCTCGGCGGACATGTCCCTGACCCAACTCTACATCGCCAATGAGATTGGTCGCGAGGTCGTCTCGGCTCTTGGAGAGCTTGGGGTCATGGATTTCAGAGATGTAAGTTTTATGGACGTGTTCTGCAGCTTCTGGTGCAGCTTGTGGATGAATGCGATGGGACACGAAGCTCACAAGCGGTGACAGCTCAACTCGGAGACAACGGCCTTCCAACGTACCTTCACCCAGGAGATTCGCCGCCTCGACAACGTAGAGCGCCAGCTCCGATACTTTCGCAGCCAGATGGAGAAATCCAGCATCCCGATGCGCTCCATCTATGACTTCAACAACCCATTCACCACGCCTTCGGCCTCGGAGATTGATGAACTCGCGGATAAGAGCCAGAGCTTGGAGCAGAGGATCTCGTCGTTGAATGAGAGCTACGAGACACTGAAGAAGCGTGAAGTGGAGCTCACAGAGTGGCGTTGGGTGCTGAGGGAGGCTGGCGGCTTCTTCGACAGGGCGCGCGGCCAAACTGAGGAAATCAGGCAATCTGTCGATGATGATGACGCGCCGCTACTCCAGGATGTTGAACAGAATGGACAAGGCGACTCGGGCGCTGAGCGCTCCTTCACCGTCATGAACATCGGTTTTGTTGCTGGTGTCATTCCTCGCGAACGCATCGCTGCCTTCGAACGCATCCTGTGGCGTACTCTTCGTGGTAACCTGTACATGAACCAGTCGGAAATCCCCGAGCCGATCATCAACCCCGAAAACAACGAGGAGACCAGCAAGAACGTCTTCATCATCTTCGCTCACGGCAAGGAGATTATCGCCAAGATCCGCAAGATCTCAGAGTCGCTCGGTGCCGATCTATACAGCGTGGACGAGAACAGCGAGCTGCGCCGGGACCAGATCCGCGAAGTCAACACTCGCTTGAGCGACCTAGCTAGTGTCCTGAAGAACACCAAGTCTACGCTAGATGCTGAGTTGACCGCGATCGGACGTAACCTTGCAGCATGGATGGTCGTTATCAAGAAAGAGA